GGGGGGGGGGGGGGGAGTGGTGGTGGTGGGAGTGGAGTGAGTGAGTGAGTGGTGGTGGTGGGAGTGGAGTGAGTGAGTGGTGGTGGGAGTGGTTCCCCCAGTGGGGAAACAAAATACTAATCACTTGTGAAATTAATATATAAATACTAGGGGTGCACAGATAAATTGGCCCCGATTTCCTTAATTTTGGGTGATTGGTGATTGACCAATACTTATACGAGAAACACATGGTAAAATAACGGTCAAATAAATAAAATTATGAGGTATTTTGGTAACAAACAGGCAGAGTTGGTTGTAAAGAGTTGACTGTAATTATAAAAACAGATTATAGGTGATCATCTAGTGCTCAGATTGTTGGGGCTCAGTCTCAGCTACTACCACATTAAAATTTAGCTCCGTGCCTGTAAAAGTGTCAGATTTATAGTATTTTTGTGTTTTCTAAGGGTGATTAGCTGTGGTGACCATTTTAAAGAGGTGAACTCTAAGAGTTAATCCGCCATAGATGTGCAGCCAATGATTACTTTATGCAATTTTTGATAAAAATCTGTCCAGTGGTTCGTAAGGTATTTTGCTAACAGACAAATGCACACGAACAAGAGCAAAAACGTTCTCTCCTTTGCCATTTGCAGCAGGTGATAACTATTTGTGCGGTTTAGAAATGCTATTTGTTCACACGGTTCATTGACCAGTCTTTGAACAGTTGAAGCATTAATAGATCCTGGAGTCAAGATGGTTCATTTCAGAGCAGATTATTGTTAATACCAACAATTCTCAACAGTTTCATTATTCTCTGATCAACTGATGAACATGCATAAAATTAATTGGAAGTAATTCCATGTGAAGTCGAGGACCAGTCCCTCCGAGCACCCAGGGCGGATCATTTTAAGTCGTTTGCCTTCTTGTCTGCAGGTCGTGGTGTCAACAAACATCGCCGAGACGTCCCTGACCATCGACGGCGTGGTGTTTGTAATTGATCCCGGATTTGCCAAGCAAAAGGTTAGCTTCCCTTCCCCCCACCACCACCACGAGTCTTTATCTGCTGCGATCATCTGCTTCTGTTGCCTGAGAATCCCCAGATAAACATAGCAGTGCACAACTGACAGCGGCAGAGATGGAAAAGCCTGTTACTTATTCCTCTGACATTTCAGCAGCCCGGAGCCAAGTCATACACACGGCACAAAACGAGATTATATATGCACTACGGTGGATTGGCTGTATATGTCACTCTGCAGCTTTTTGTTGGCAGCTTGTAGATCGGAGCTACGACTCACTTTTCTTTACCTCCACTCTGGTTTAGACTTTACATTTAGCCTTAAATGTAACAGAGTTTGTTTTCCTCTTTCTCTCAGGTGTATAATCCACGCATCAGAGTGGAATCCCTTTTAGTCACAGCCATCAGCAAAGCCTCCGCTCAGCAGAGAGCAGGCCGAGCTGGGCGTACACGCCCTGGGAAGTGTTTCCGTCTATACACAGAAAAAGCTTACAAGACAGAAATGCAGGTGAGAAACAGCGTTGTTTGAAAACGGCTTGAATGATTTGTTTTCCTGCAACTACTTCTGTATACTATTATACTATCTTAACCATTCATATTTCAAAACCCTCAGCTCGTTCAGCAGATGGGAGCTGTGACCTTTGGATTTTAGATCTTTAATATTTAAATTTATATATTTTACTGTATTTGCTCATATTTTCTCCATAGAAGTACACAGAGATTTTTTCAGTTCAGTCAAAATCGTTATACTCTTTGAAATCTGTTCCAGCATAACTGCTCTATTTTTTTCTGCTTCTCCTTTTATGTTTTGGCTACTAATCTGCTGTTTTTAGCTTTTAGCTAATGTTCTGCTACTTTTCACTTTATGCTAGTTTTTTACTTTTAGCTAGCCTTTTGCTGTTTATAGCTTTTAGCCAACTTGTTGGTACTTTAAGTTTTGAGGTAACCTTTTAGTACTTTCAGGTTGTATTTTGCAACTTTTAGCCTTTAGCTAGCTTTTTGCGTCTTTTAACAAGCCGTTTGCTAATTCTAAATTTTATCGAACCTTCTTTTGCTATATTTAGCTTTTAACTAGCCTTTTGCTATATTTAAGTTTTAACTAGCCTTTTGCTATATTTAGCTTTTAA